ATTAATGGGAAAAAGCAATTGTTTGCTTCAAAGGGAACTAAAAAAGTTCAACTCATGCTAGGAAAAAAAAAGGCAGGAAAAAAAGTTAATTGTAATTTTTGAGCCCTGAACTTTCAGAAAATGAAAAAGAGGAGAGAGAAGGAGAGAGGGTAGAGATTTCCTCTGAAGATGCTTGCTTGGTGTTTTCCTTAAACAAATGTAAGGCCTCACCTTCTGTATAGTCATTCAGCAAACATTGGAGCTTCTCAGGGTCTGGTGCTAAGCTATGTGGGAGAGACAAAGATGAGAGAGAAGTCTTACTTCCAGAACTCAGTGTCTTTAGGAGATGAGATACAAATAAAAACAATATGAGAAAAGGTTCTTTTTTTTCCCCCCAGAGGCAATCTGGGTTAGGTGACTTGCCCAGGGTCACATAGCTAGTAAGTTATCTGGGGCTGGATTTGAACTGAGGTTCTCCTGACTCCAGGACGCTATCTACTGCAACACATAGCTGCTGTAAGAGGTTCTGAAGAGACATATGAATCAAGTTTCTATGGGCATTTGGAGCAGGTAGTGAACTTTTTGGGCTAAAGAAGGGCTTTGGGGCAGCTAGGTGATGCAGTGGATAGAGCTCCGGTCTTGGAGTCAAGAGAACCTGAGTTCAAATCTGGCCTCAGATACTTGCCACTTACTAGCTGTGTGACCCTGGGCAAGTCACTTAACCCCAGCTGCCTCAGCAAAAAAAAAAAAAAAGAAGAAGAAGAAGAAGGGCTTCATGTAGCATTTGATTGATGTGCTCTATGACCTTGGATAAGTTCCTTCCCTTCTCTGGGCTTCAGCTTTTCCATGTGTAAACTGGGGAGGATGGACTAAGATGGCCACTGGGAGCTGTTGTCCCTCTGGCCATCTATAGTTCTAAGATTCTAATAAGGGGCTACAGCTTAGACCCAGGCTGGGAGTCAGAGGGGGTCCCTTTTCTGTTCCCCCCTTAATCACCTTCATCTCTCCTACTTCCTCCTCCCCTTTTTACTCGTCTCTCCATTTCTCCATCCCTTTCTTACCTTTCTCCCTTATCTCTTTCCCTTATTGTCTCCCTCTTCTTCTCTTTCTCTTCTCCCCTCTTCTCTTCTTCCTCCCCTTCCTCATCCTTCTCCCTGCCACCCTCCTTCCCCAAGCAGAGGGAAGCTCAGTGTTAAAAGCTCTAGTTCTCCTGGCCCTCTCTGAACTCTAGGGGTAGAGAGAGCGTGGGAGGGAGGCAGTGTGGGAGGAAGGCAGAGTGGGAGGGAGGTAGACGGATCTGCACTGATAGTCGTGAGCAGAATAAATCTCTTGAAAATGACTTGATTTCCTCCCCCCCCCCCAATCGGAGCTTCTGTTTGTGCTAGGTCTGAGCCTTGGATAGAACCGCCTTTGGGGTAGTCTCATCCAATGTCTATCACTGGAAGCATTGAGTAGCACCTGGGGTCTTCCCTGACAAGGGAGCCTGACCTCCTGACCACACTCCTACCTGCTGCAGATTTGCTAGAAGAAAACTTAGTCTGTGAAAATCCAGCCTTATCAACTCCAGCCCCCAGAAAGGATGCTTATCCTCCCTAGAGCCTAAGGAGATGAGAATCCCACAGTATTCTGCCTGGGTCAGGCCACATCCATAGTATTAGGTCTAAGCCCCTCATTTTAGGAAAGACATTGATGATAAGAAGATAAGCTTCCAGAGGAGGGCACCCAGGGTGGTAAGGGGCCTTGAGTTGCTACCATTTTTGGGCCAGGTGAAGAAACCAGGAGGGTTTAGCTTAGAGAAGAAGATATGGAGGGGAAATCTGATAGCTCTCTTCAAATATTTGAAGGGCTGTCATGTGTAAGAGGAATTAATCTTTTTCTACTCAGCCCCAGAGGGTAGAACTAGGAACAGTGGATACAAGATGAAAAAGATTTAGACTTTAGACTTTCTGTAAGGGGAAGCTTCCTAATAATTAGAGCCATCCAAAAGCAGAATGAGCTGAGTCCAGAGGTAATGAGCTCCCCACCTCTGGAGGTCTTCAAACAAAGGCTGGAGTGATCCCTTGTCAGGTGTCTCAGGTATGAAGTGAATTGGATGGCCTTAGAGGGCCCTTCTCAGAGAGGTTGTGACTTGAGGACCCTTTGCATTACAGGCCTGGAATACACTATTTACAGCAAGACCCAAGTCCCAGAAATTAGACTGGGTACAGTGCATACCTGAGGGCCAGCAGACCCCACCAGGCCCACATTTGCACTGGCCGAGAATTGAGAGGCTTAGTCTCTTTGCCCATCTCTGTCTGTGATTCTGGGTTTGACCCTCTGTGGGCGTTGTATGGGCCTGTCTCCTGCTATATGTTGTCTCCCTCTGTGTCTGCATATTTATTTCCATCCCCCTTTGTGTCTTTCCCTCTTGCGTCTCCATGTCTGTGTCTCTGTGTACTTCCATGTCTGTATCTGTGTCTGCCCCTTTCTGTATGTACATGTGTGCCCACTTCTCTGGATCTGGGTGTCTGTGTTTCTTTCTCCCCCTGTGTCCCTTCCTCCCTCAGTCTACCCTTGCACTCTGATCCACTCTGCCTTGTGGTAGTTTTCTCTCTCCTACTAGAGAGCTCCCCTCCAGGTAGGGCCATGCCTGATCCATCTGCCTCCCTACCCACCACCTAACATGGAGCACACACATTAGGCATCCATAAATATCTGTTGGACTATTGCATGAACATAAGGCTGGGCATGATCTGGGCCAGATGAGGGGTGTGAACCTTAAGGACTATGGGGTTCAAAGGATGGAGAGTCAGTGTAAGCTGCAGTGACTGGTCAGGGCAGGCTTCCAGAAGGTAGTCATTGGACTAGGCCTTAAAGGACAGGTAGAATTTGGCTCTATCAAATTTAGACCTCATGGGCGATCTGATAATGCCTAGTAACTCTTTCTCAGAATAAAGTTTTTAAATGCATACAGCAAAATATAAAGGATTACAAAGGAAACCAAATTTATTGAAATATAGCTATTACATTAAAAAAAAGTTCATAGAACTGAGGTGAAGATCCTTCAGTTAGACCAACAGGTCAAACCTGATGAACTGAAATTGAGTAGGGTTACTCACCACCGACATTAATGCAGTACTTCAGTGTTTGCAAGAGTGCTTCATACATTATGTCTTTTAATCCTCATACCAACCTGTGAAGTACTACAGACATTATTATCATTTTACAGGTGAGGAAACTGAGGCAGACAGAAACGTGGCTGACCCAGGATTACACAGCCATTAAGTTTTAGAAGTAGCCAGAGGCAGCTAAGAGGCACAACAGATAATAATAACAATAGCTAGCATTTACATAGCACCTACTGTGTGCCAGGCACTGTGCTAAGTACTTTACAGATATTATCTCATTTGACCCTCACAACAACCCTGGGAGGTAGGTGCTATTATTATCCATTTTTTACAGATGAAGAAACTGGGGCAGACAGAGGTTAAGTGACTTGCCCAGGTTCACACAGCTAGTAAGTATCTGAGGCCAAATTTGAATTTGGGTGTTCTTGACTTTAGGCTCAGCACTCTAACCCCTGAGTCACCTAGCTACTCACTGGACCTGGCATCAGGAAGACCTGAATTCAAATCTAGCCTCAGACTCTAGTTGTGTGACCCTGAGCAAGTCATTTAGTCTCTGTCAGCCTCAGTTTCCTCATCTGTAAAATAGAAATAATAATAGCACCTACCTCCCTGGCTTATTTCGAGGATCAAATGAGATAATATTTGTAAAGTGCTCTGCAAACTTTAAAGTGCTACATCTTAAGCAGGAGGGAAACCTGGATGTTCCCAATTCCAAGTCCAATGCTCTTTTCAGTACACTACATTAATAACAAGTTCTATACTAGGCTTCCAAAGTCACCTGGGCAAATATTGGGTGAAGAAGGCATCAGGAGACAATTTTTTTCCAAAAGGAGGGCAGGGGACTTTGGAGGACTAAAAACTCAATATTAGATAGCAGTGTGACCTGGCAGTCAAATGTAAAGGGTATAGGCAAGGGATACAAGATGCAGAGAAACAGATGGAGGTGCAGTGAAATACTTAACAGTTGAAGAGGTAAGAACAAACTTCCTAATGGTGAGAGTACCTAAAAGGAAAATAGGACTGCCTCAGGAGGCAATGGATTTCTCTTCCTGGGGGACAGGAGGTGCTCAAATAAAGGCTCCCATGCCACCTATGAGTAGTGCTATAGAGAGGATTCCGTTTAGGCAGGAGTTGGACTGGATACTTTTTTTTTTAGGCAATTGGGGTTAAGTGACTTGCCCAGGGTCACACAGCTAGTAAGTGTTAAGTGTTTGGTCTGAGGCTGGATTAGAACTCAGATCCTCCTGACTTCAGGGCTGGTGCTCTATCCACTGCACCACCTAGTTGCCCCAGGACTAGATACTTAATGGGACTCTGAAAGGCATTCCAGACAGGACCATGTAGTAGCCAGAGGGCCTGTGGACTGGGGGCCATGAGTCTGGAAAGTAGACCTGTATTATAGAGCCTCTCAATGCCAGGTTAAGTCTCATCCTTTTACTGTCTGGATGAAGGCTCTAGCCAGGGATACCACTCTCTCTCTCTCTCTCTCTCTCTCTCTCTCTCTCTCTCTCTCCTACACACAAACACACACACACACACACACCCTTTCTGAAATTTAGGGCTAGAGCTTAGATAAGGGCAAAGGACAGGGAGACAGGCAACCCTAACTTCTCAGCCCCCAGGGTTGGTTCTTCCCTGCTCAAAACGGGAAAGGCTCAGGACTCAGAGAACAGAACGGTGGAGTGCTTAACAGCAGAAGCTAGTCTGACTGAACAAGGCGAACTCCCTAAGTTGGATTCATGCAGAAATGGGGACCGAGAATCAATCAGCAAGACAGGCATCACGGGGCTCTGAATTTCAGGGCTCTGGATGGCCCCACTAGAGTATTCTGCCTCCCTCTCTTCTCTCTGTGGTAAAGGTGTGTGTGGGGGGGTATGGCTTCTCCATCCCCTAAGTGTCCCTCTTTCTCTGCAGACGCTGTTCCAAAGTCCCGAGGATGGCTGGCAGCTTTACACCTCGGCCCAGGCTCCGGACGGGAAGTGTGTGTGCACAGCCGTCATCCCTGTGCAGAACAGCTGTTCCCGTGATGGCCGGAGCAGGGAGCTGAGGCAGCTCATGGAGAAGGTGCATGGTCAGGGGAGGAGGGCAGAAAAAAGGAGACTCCAATTTGATCAATCTGTTTTCTTAGAACTTTCTTTGCCTCTCCCCTATACAACCACACACATGTACATACATATACCCAGCCCCAAGGACTCTTCAATAAGCCCTCATGGCCCCTCTGCTCCCAGCTTTATTCAATCTATTTTTAGTCTCTTGAATCCTAAGAAGTCTCATTGCCCCCACTGTGCCCTGGCTCCAGGATTCATAAGCTTAACAAACTTTCAGGGCAGAAAGGAACTTTAGAGATCAGTTAATCCAACCTTCTGATGTTACAGATAGAGAAATTGAGGCTCACTCAGTCTCCTAAGGCTAAGGATGAAGACTCTCAGAGAAAGTGTTCAGAGTCCTCAGGACAGCATCACACCCACCCAGATCCTCAAGCTTGAGTTCTCTGACTCTACTCTGTCGATCTGTCATTATTGACAGTGGAAAAAACACAACCTGTGGAGTCAGAGGTCCTGGTTCAAATCCCACCCTTGATACTTATTTCCTATATGACCTCAGGCAAGTCACTTAAGTCCAAGCCTCAGTTTCTCTGTCTGTAAAATGAAGGGGTTGGACTATATGTCTTTTGGCCATAAATCCAATTCTGGGTCTGTGGTCATGATGACTGAGTCCCTGCCTAATGAGACTCTTGGGGGCCAAGGTAGGGATCTCTGCCTACAGCAGATCAGTCTGATGTCATGGAAAGAGTGCTGGCTTTGGAAGCAGAAGACATAACTTCAAGGCCAGGCTCTGGCTCTGAATAGCCACATGATTTGGGGCAAGTTCTTTCACGTCTCTCCAGTCTCCATTTCCTTATTTAGAAAAGTAATGAGGTTGAACTAAAAGAGTGTTTAATCCTGTGTCATAGTTGCTGAGATGAGGGGAAGAGGTGGGGACTAGAGCAATGCAGGAGGCTTCCCTGAGAAGAAGGAACTCCAGCTGGCCTCAGCAGGATGGAGTGGGTTTGGACAGCAGAATGGGTCCTTTGGGAAGGTGGGGAGTCCCTCTTGGCCAGATCTGTTGTCTCGATGACCCCTCTACAGTAAGTGGTAACAGAAGATGGTCCTTTTAGGGTTTCCCTAAGGACCTTGCAGCACCAGGGTCTCCCTGGGAACATCTCCTGTGGTTTTCTTAATGGTCAATGATCCCCATGCCTCCCACCTAGGACAGCTTTGCCCCCAGGAACAGGGGTCAGTAGTCAAGAAGCCATGCTTGAGGGTTTCCCTCCCTCTGGGAAAAGAGACAAATGGAGGCTCCAACTGCCTTGAGTGTGTTGAAGTCCTGGGGAGAAGAATCAGCAGGTTCAGGGGTCAGATAAATAAAAATTGATCTCTGTATCACCCTTTAAAGTTGACAAAGCACTTTATGTGTATTTTCCCATTTAAGACTCCCAATACTGCAGGGTACTCTAAGTAATAAAAGTATTACTTGTAGTCATTTGATAGACGAGGAAGCTGCAGTTTAGAGAGGGGAGTGAATTGCCCATGATTACAAAATTAATAAGGATCAGAGGCTGAACTTAAACTCGGGGCATCCTGACTTCAAACCCAGTCATCTATGGCATCCTGCTGCCTCACTCAGAAGGGAGATGCTAGGTGCCTCTGAAGCATCCTGGCACTCCAAAAAGAGGTCAGAGGAAAGCACTGGGAACTTCAGGGGTGTCCTGATTCTAGGGATGGTGGAGAGTCAGCAGGAAACCCTGGCCATCTCAGGGATGAGCTGGCCCTGGGAGAGGAGTCAGCAAAGTCATTGTTAAGGGGAGACACTTGCTATCTTGGAGGTGTCCTAGCCCTGGGGAGAGGGGTCAGGACTTAAAGAGAAGTGCCATCCATTTGGGGCACATCTGGTCCGGTTAGAGCTAGGTGGCTGGAAAAAATTGGTGGTTTGACAGACCAAGCAGGGGACAGTGATCTTAGCTTGGGGGTGTCTTTCTCTCTACTTGCTCCTGCCTCCAGGTACAAAATGTCTCCCAGTCCATGGAAGTCCTTGAGCTCCGGACATTTCGCGACCTACAGTATGTGAGGAATACAGAGTCTCTCATGCGAAGCTTGGACTCAAGACTCCGGGCAGCTGATGGGGCCCGAAGCTTATCAGTCAAGAGTTTCCAGGTGAGAGCCCTAGGGTCAAAGGCAGGGAGGGAGTTGGGGATGGGGCAGGCAGCATGGCATGGTTCAGTTTGAGCTCAGAGGTTGGTAAGGAGTCATATCTGGGTGAATCAGTCAATCAATATTAAGTGCCTACTGTGTGTCAGCACTGAGTACCAGGGATACAAAAAGAGGCAAAGGGACTGGGTTGGGGGTAGAGGTTGGATTGGCATGGGGTCAGGTGACAGGGCCCACTCAACAGGAACTGAAGGACCGGATGACGGAGCTGCTACCCCTGAGCTCAGTACTGGAGCAGTACAAGGCAGACACAAGGACGATTGTGCGCTTGCGAGAGGAAGTGAGGAACCTATCAGCAAGCCTAGCAGCCATCCAGGAGGAGATGGGTGCCTTTGACTATGAGGAATTGCAGCAACGTGTGCTGGTGCTTGAGGCCCGGCTCCACGCCTGTGCACAGAAGCTGGGTATGTCCCGACCCCAAACCTTGACCCTGCTTGCCCACTCCATGCTGCAGAAGCTGGGTATATGGTAGTGACCCACCTCCAGTTCCATACTACAGAAGTTGGTATGTCCTGACCTGGTCCAGTCCCTTACCTCTAGCCCCCTGACTGTAGATCCATCTGGATGTCTAGAACATGACCCTTCCCTCCTAAAGATGCCTCAGATGGAATTCCTCCCTCCATTCCTCATGCCTCCTTCTCCTTCTCCTTCCTCCAGGCTGTGGCAAGCTCACTGGAGTCAGCAACCCCATCACCATCCGTGCCATGGGCTCCCGTTTTGGATCCTGGATGACAGACACTATGGCCCCCAGTGCAGACAGTCGTGTAAGTTCTACTTCCTGGCTCAATCTGCCTTGGAAAGCCCCTGATGTTATATGGAGACATAGCCCAGTATTGGGGAGCCCCAGATCTGGGTGACAGATGTGACCCAGCTATTCTCTGGTCTAAGAGACAAGGGGGAATAAATGGCCTCTCTTCTCAGGGAGGCCCTGATTTGATTTGAAGGGGAAGATAAAATCCCATCCTTGGACATTTCTGTTACCTCTCCCCACCTCCACCTATCGCCTCCCACCCCTCCTTCCCTAGTTCTCTGTTATAATTGACTCAGAACCACTTGGTTTCTCTTCAGTCGCCTGCAAGCTGGCTTCTGCTGTCCCCACTCTCCTGTGTAGCATTTCTCTCCAGCACCATCAGTCACCTCTTAATCACCAAATCTCATGGGCTTTTCTTAGTGTCCTCCTCCTTCTTGACCTCCTTGTAGTGTTTGACACTGCTGGCCGCCCCCTTCTGCCTGATAATCTCTCCTCCTCTGGTTTCCCTGATCCTGCTTTCTATGTCTCTCCATTATCTTCCTATTTCTCTACTTCCCTGTCTGCTCATCCTCGTTGCATCTCTTAAATACAGGTGTCCCCCAAGGCTGTGCTCATCCCTTTTTCCTCCTCCCTCTCTATCCTTTACCTTAGTGATCTCACCCACTCCAGTTCTGCCACTTACTGACTGTGATCTGGGGCAAGTCAGTCATTTAACCTGGCCAGTCCTCAGTTTTCTTAATGGAAAAACAAGGGGATTGGACTTTATTTCTTAAGCTAGGGTCCACGAAGTTATGTTTTTAAATGAGTATTTCAATATAGTTGGTTTTATATGTAATCCTGTGTGTTTTATTTTATGTATTTAAAAACACTGTTCTCAGAAGGGGTTCATGGGCTCTACCAGACTGACTACCAAAGGGCTCCATGACACACAAAAAAAAAATCTTAAGAGCTCCTGGATTCAGTGAACTCTGAGATCTCCGCCAGCTCTAAATCGATAAATGGCTTCAATGATCCCCTCCATTTTGATCACTTTCAAAGCTGTATCTCTACCTCTAACCTCTCCTGAAGTCTAGTCCAATTTTTCCAGCTCTCTGCTGGGTCTCTCCATCTCGATGCTCCTCTGACCCTTCAAATTCAGTTTGTCTAAAACTAAATCATCCTCCTTTCTCCTTAACTTATTTTCTGTTAATGGCATGACTGTGCTTAGTCACCTAGGCTCGAAACCATGACTTGAAACTTATGAGTCTTCCATCTTCCTCAGCTTTCAGGGCTCCCACCCTGCCTCCCCCCATTCAATCTGTCACCAAACTCTATTGATTCAGTGTTGTTCAGGGGGAAAGAGTCCCATGGTGCTCTGGGGTCAAAAGATGCGTGTTCAAATTCTCCTCTGATGTGTGCTATTTGTGAGACTTTGGACAAGTCACTTAACCTCCCTGGGCCTAAATTTCTTCATTTATAAAATTGGACTCGATGACTTGAGAGACCCCTTCTAGCTCTAATGCTTTTATCCCCAGCAGTTTTCTCATCTATCTGCTTCCTGCCACTCCTGCTGCTACACCTCTAGTTTAGGACTTTATCCCTTCTTGCTGAGACTATTCTAATAATCTCTTCATTGTCCTTCCTGCGTCCAGTCTTTCCCCAGTCTCCTTTCCCCTTTCACTCACCATATGCTGCCCGAGTAATTTTCCTAACACATAGCTACGAGTGTCATTTCTCTACTCAGAAACCTTCAGTGCCTCCCACTTATTTACCAAATAAAATATAACTCCTGATCCTGGCATTCCAAGTCCTCCAGAGTCTGGCTTCAGCTTATCCTTTCATCTTCATTTCACATTGCTCCCCTGTACTCTGTGATGCATTAAAACTGGACTACTCTCTGTCCTTCATTCTTGTCCTGCCTTCTCCTATCTCTCTGCATTTGCTAAGAGCATCCCTCATGCCTGGAATGGATTCTCCCACCCACACCCACACCCACACCCACACTGCTACCATTTACTTCTGTTGAATATGCCACATCTTCCAACAAGTCTTCCTGGTTGTTGCCTCCTCCCAGCTGCAAGTGATCTCGGTGTTCTCATCATCTTCCCCTACTTTTAATTTATCTGTCTCTGTTGATGGCACCATCATCCTAAGTCACATTGACCTGCAAACCTCTGAGTCATCTTTGATTGTCTCCTTTCCTTCATCTACCTAACATCATACCTAATCCCAACTGCTCAGATTCCTACCCCCTTGCTCTTGGCCCGGATCTCTCCTTTTCCCCAGTTTTTCCACACTTACATCATAGTTATCTGTGTACTTGTATGCCCCCACCACTATTAGATTTTAAGCTCCTTGAGAGGAGACCCTGGGCCAAATCTATCCTAACATCCCCAGCAGCTTTCTCATCTATCTGCTTCCTGCCACTCCTGCTGCTACAGCTCTAGTTTAGGGCTTTATCCCTTCTTTAAATATAGTTAAAATGGCCATCCCCAATCCACTAAACAAATAGTTTAAATTTAGGGGCTGAACATAGGACCTTATCCACACTGAAACCTTAGAATTGTTTGTTGAATTGAACCCTTTACATAGTTCTAAAAATTTCCAAGACTGGGACATTGATAAAAGATAGCATTTCCCCACTGACCAGAAGGGCCACTCTTGCCTTCACCTGCAGAAACAAATAGATGGGAAGAAAGCCAAAGGAGTCAGGTGGTTGTAATAAGGAAAGACTTCCTTAAAGATATGAGGTATGCCCTGCAACGGGGATGGGCCAGGCCAAGTCCATGGCTAGTTGCAATAGGGGTAATGAGAATGGTAAGAGGAAGAGAAATCAAAGTTCTTGGAAGATTTGCCCAGTCACCATGCAGTGACCCTTTTAGCAACTCCTGGCTTCTCTAGGGCCTGTTAGATTCCAGGTAACCACTGGGCCTCTGGGTGAGTAGTGCTTGATGGTTACTAGTGGCCATTTTGGTAGTGACCAGTGGTCTCAACCAAATGACTATTCACCTCAGGTGAATGCTTCTTTCTGGTCATCAATGGCCATCCCCAATGATTAGTGTCCTTAGTGACAGGGCTTGCTGGTTTATCTGGGGTCTTCCCTATGATTTGGGGGGAAGAGGGAGCAGTGGACACCTCAGCTGACCAGTGGCTGCCCCTCCAGGTGTGGTACATGGATGGCTACTACAAGGGACGGCGGGTGCTCGAATTCCGCACTTTGGGTGACTTTGTAAAGGGACAGAACTTCATCCAGCATCTGCTGCCACAACCATGGGCAGGCACTGGCCACGTGGTCTACAATGGCTCTCTCTTCTACAACAAATACCAGAGCAATGTGGTAGTAAAATATCATTTCCGGTCACGCTCAGTGCTGGTCCAGCGCAGCCTGCCAGGGGCTGGCTACAACAACACCTTCCCCTATTCCTGGGGTGGCTTCTCTGACATGGACCTCATGGTGGATGAGAGTGGCCTGTGGGCCGTCTACACCACCAACCAGAATGCGGGCAACATCGTGGTGAGCCGGCTGGATCCCCACACCCTCGAGGTCATGCGGTCCTGGGACACAGGTTACCCCAAGCGCAGTGCAGGTGAGGCCTTCATGATCTGTGGCGTTCTCTATGTGACCAACTCACATCTGGCTGGGGCCAAGGTCTACTTCGCTTACTTCACCAACACATCGAGCTATGAGTACACGGACGTACCCTTCCACAACCAGTATTCCCACATCTCCATGCTGGACTATAACCCTCGTGAACGCGCCCTCTACACCTGGAACAATGGTCACCAAGTGCTCTATAATGTCACTCTCTTCCATGTGATCAGCACAGCTGGAGGCCCTTAGGACCCAGGCTGGGGGGGAGGGGAGCCTCTCTCTGTCGCTGTCTTCCTATTCTGATCTGTCTCAATCTTTTTCTCTCAATCTGTTTATCTCTGTGTCTCTATTTCAATCTCTCTTTTGCTCTGCCTGTTTCTATTTCAGTATCCTTCTATATGTCTATGTCTGTCCCTGGCTCTCTATAGCTGTGTCTCTGTTTCTTTCTTGGTAATTCCGGGTGCCTCTCTTGCTCTCTCTATATCTATGCAAGGATCTGTGGATTTAGATATAGACTAGGGCCTCTGTCTCTCTCTGTCCTTGTCTCCATCTTCCCGCCATCCCCTGTCTCACCCTGCCTAGGGGATCTGCCTAGGGGATCTGCCCAGGGGATCTACCTAGGGATCTGCTGCATGAATCTACTTCTTTTTTTTATTTATTGCTTTTTTTTCCTGGCTCAATAAACAGGAACTTTGACATTTTCTGTGTTTGAAGCTTTTTTGTGGTCATGTGAGGGATCTGCCTTGATTTTTTTTATAGAAGAATGGAGTTCAGGGCCTGCTCTTGAAAAGTCACTTTGCTCTCCATTCCCTCTCATGATTGGGAGTGGGGTGGGGGTGGAGGTAGAAATGACACAAGCCTAGGATCAGGGGACAGCTGGATGGGTAGGATCTGTGCATAGAGCTAGGTTAGACCCACTCTGGAGCTCAGGGCTGTTGGGCTTATTCTTTTTTTTTTTTTTTTTTTTTTTTTGATGAGGCAATTGGGGGTTAAGTGACTTTCCCAGGGTCATACACAGCTAGTTTAAGTGTCAAGTGTCTGAGATTGGATTTGAAATCAGGTACTCCTGACTCCAAGGCCAGGGCTCTACCCACTGCACCACCTAGCTGCCCCTAGGGTTATTCTTTATCATGCATTTAACAGAAGGAAGGGAGGGAACCTTCCCATATCTCCCATAGAACACAGCCAAATCTGGAACTCCTTGCAAATGAAGGAAACCAATGTCTGGAAACTATGTCCATAGGTCAGTCTAAGCTAAAGGGAAAATGAGATAAACTGAAACATTCCTGGAGCCCCATTATGGCTCACGCTGACCATGAAACCTTTCTGCCCATGCTGCCCACACTGACCCTCACTAGCTCTCTGACCACAGACCTACTCATATTCTCAGAGCCCCCTAGAAGTCTATGGTCTAAAAGTTCAATAGTCTGAACTTTCTGGGGAAAAAAGCTTTATCATGGGACAGAGGTAACTGTATTTGGAGAGAAATAGATATTACCCTCTGCATTACAAAGAGAAAAGAGAAAAGAGAAATGAAAGGGTAGGGAAAAACAAAAACAGATCTCTCCATAGAGGAGTCAAGATCTTTGAGACCCACATTCACACACCCCTTTCAATGCCCCATTGTGAGGTTTTTCAGATAGAGTGGAAGAGGAGTAGGAGGAAATGAGACTGGTAAAGGAAACTGGAAATAGACATGGAGGGCTTTGAATACCTGGCTGAGAAATCTGGACTTTATCCTGTGTGCAGTGAGGAGCCAGGGAAAATTCTAGAACAGAGTGAAGAGAAGGGGATAACTGAAAAAGAGCTTGTGAGGTAAAATGAACAAGATTCAAAGGCTATTTGAATGTGCGAGGAGGGATAGCCAGGAGTCAGTATTCTGCTGCCACTAGCAAAGAAATGCCAGGTCATCGTGAGGATGAGAACACTGAATGAAAAGAAGTTGTTTCTTCTACTGGAGATCTTCAGATAAAGACATAATGACCATTTATCAAAAAGGAAGGAAGGAGGGATGGAAGGGAAAGAGAAGAAGAAGGGAAGGAGGGAGGTAGGGAGGAAGGATGGAAGAGAAGGAGAGAGAAGGGGTGGGAGGATGAAGGGAAGGAGGGAAGGAGGAATTTATTAAGTGCTACCAGGCAGATGTAAAAGACAATCCCTCCTTTCAAGGAATTTACCTTAGTTTACCTTTTATTGGGAGGAGATAACATACGTGGGAGTGGTCCATGAGAAGAGAGTATCTGAAGATTCAGGGATTGTGAGGTCAGACGATTGGTGATGGCCTGGGATGCAATGGATGACCTTGGTGGTTTTGATGCCTGACCAAGCTATAAGCACTCCACAGCACTGGTTTCAGTCACCTTCATGGCCATTGGAACAAATTGTTTTCATCTGCTCATTCCGCCAGGGAAATCTTCACATGCTTGGGGTAGACATCCCTCTAACTCACTGAAGGGTTTGAGACCCCTTGGTTAGTTCAACCTAGTTTAGCCCAGCTGCCAAGAAGGTTTACCAGGGTGTGGCTGGTGCACATGCTACAGCTTCTTGGAGTCACAGGGGAGAGTTGGGTGAATCAGGTGGACACCGAAGGTGGATGAGCAGTCCTTACACCAGAGGTGCTAGTCCTCCTTGAACATCCCATATACCCCAAGGGAGAAGGTAGGTGCCCAGTGTCATGACAGAGGGCAATATGCCCAAGTTAGACGGGTTTCTGGACTGCTATTTCTGAACTGGCTCTTATACTGCTAAGTTGACTGTGTTGACAATCAGGCAAGCCTGAAAACCAAATGGAACCTCTTTGTGACATAGCACCGCAGTTCAGGGGAGTCTTCTTCCCTAGGTGGCTTTCCCTGCATGGGTGTATCTATTCCCCTGTACTATATTTTCCTCAGGGGAGAGTCTTAAGCAGTGGGTTAAACTGGAGCTCTCTCTCTCTCTCTCTTTTGGTGAGGCAGTCGGGGTTAAGTGACATGCCCAGGGTCACACAGCTAGTAAGTGTTATGTGTCTCAGTCTGGATTTGAACTCAGGTCCTCCTGACTCCAAGGCCAGAGCTCTAGCCACTGTGCCACCTAGCTGCTCTCTGAACTAGAGCTCTCAAAGCACATTCAAAGCACACATACACTAAATTTTAGTTTATCAGGTCACTGGTTTGTGCCAGGGCTTATGGGATCTTGATGTTCAACCCCATCTTGGACTTCCTTTGGACTCTTCACTGCAGCCCGCCTGAGTCTCCTTACTCCAAGGCCTTGAAGACCTCAGTCAGACCAGAATTCAGAGGCTCAGGGTTCAGCTTCCCCTTTCCCAGATAATTCCCAGCTCCCAGCCCTACCCCATTGTATTCTATGAATTACCAAGAGTAGCAGGAACATAGAAAAGCTCAGACTGGGAACCGAGTTCATTGGATTTTCAGGGAGGGGAACCCCAGGTTCTCCCAGTTCTAATTAATGTCTCTGATGGTGAACCCTGTTTCTGCTCCAAGATCTCCATGAACACTGAGATAGCAGACGTATTTTGAAATGGAGTATGTGAATAATAAATGTTCCTTCCCAATAAGCTCATTTAAAACTTAGAATTTTTTTTTTAGTTTTTAAATTTTTTTTTTGATTATGAAGTTACCCTAGTGGAAATGGGAAAACCACTTATTAAAGATGTTGGAAGAGGATGTCTATCCCCATCTTCCCTCAATGTACAGATACTTCTATTTTCTATTTGAGCTCTCTCAAAGTGGAATGGACTTCCTTTGGAGATAATGAGGTCCCCATCACTATAGAATTTCAGGAACGGAGATCTTCAGGGGGGGAACTCCCAATCTGAATACCCCAGGATCATTCCCTCCCCCCTTTTTAGACTCTATTACATAAATCCAAGTAGGACTCTTGTAGATGGAATTTGTCATCCTGGCATACAGATTGGACTTCCAATTCTATGTGTCTGAAATTCTATTATTTAGTTACGTGGCTGTGTCAAATACAGAGAAATACACTCAATCATATACGCTCATACATATAAAGAGGGAAAGGAAGGAAACAAGTATGTATATAGCACCTACTACGTGCCAGGCACTGTGCTAAGTACTTTACAAGTATCTCATTTGATCCAACAACAACCCTAGCAGATTGGAACTATGCTAAACAGAGCGTTCTATATTTGATCCTGGAGGCAATAAGGAACCGAAGAGATTTATTGAATAGGGGAATGACAGGGGTTAGACCTGGGCTTTGGGAAAATCAGTTTTTACTGAATGGAAGATGGATTGAAGTGGGGAGAGACTTGAGGCAGACAGACCCACCAACAGGCTATTGTGATAATTCAGGTATGAAGTGATGAGGGCCTGCACCTCAGCAGTGTCAGAGGAGAGAAAGGAGGTATATAGGAGATGTGTTACAGAGGTGAAGTCAGAAGGCCTGGGCAATAGCTTAGGTATGGGAGGTAAGGGAGAGTGAGGAGTTGAGGCTGACTCCTAGGTTGAGAATCTAAGGGACTGAGAGGATGGTGTCACCCTCTTTAGTAACAGGGAAGATAGAAGGGGAGGAGGGTTTAGGGGGAAAGATAATGAAATTTTTTGGGGGGTCATGTTTAGCATCAGATGTCTCCTGGACAACCAGTTTATTCCCTCTGTCATCCCTTATAAACTCCCTGAGCAAAGAGATTGCCTTTAATTTTATATTTATATCCCCAGTACTGACTTAGCACACTTCTTGATACATGGTAAGTCAGTCAATCAATAAACATCTAATATGCACCTTCTGTGTGCCAGGCATTGTGCTAAGTGTTGGGGATACAAAATAAGGCAAAAGATGTCCTTGCCTGTAAGAAGCTCACAATCTAATTGTGCTTAATAAATCAAAGTACTTAATAAATGCTTTTGAAAATTCATTGATTGAAGTATTATTATTAAAAATAAAAATAACAAGAATTGGAAACAATTAAAATCTTCGCAGAGCATAGATATAGCCCTTCCTCTAGGGATATATTTGGACTGGTTGCCTCTAATAACACACAATCAGGGGGTTACACAGCCATATCCCACTTCTTACTCCTGCCCCAGGATTCCCTAGGCCCAACGATCACTTTATTGTTGTTGTTATTCAGTCATATCTAACTTTTTGTGAACCATAGCATGACAATATCATCTATGAGGTTTTCTTGGCAAAGATACTGGAATGGTTTGCAATGATACTCCAGTGGATTAAGGCAAACAGAGGTTAAGTAACTTGTCCAGAGTCACACAGCTAGTGTCTGAGGCCAGATTTTAATGCAGGTCTTTCTGACTCCAGTGTTTATGGTTCTTATCCTAACCAAAGAGAGTGAGAAGGAAGGACTGAGACTGAGTCCTGTGGATTTCCATTTCATCAAACTTCCCATGAATCCCTAAGCCTGTTTAGGAACTACAGGGAATAGTACTCCATGAGCACAGACTACACTGTTCAGTCTGTGAAAATCACAGTTTCACCTCCACACAGACTGTGGCTGTGTATGTCTCTGCCACAGAAAATCCATTTGGTAAATAATGGAGAGACTTGCCCCTCCTGACACAACTGCTCCCCTGCCCAAGTGACTCTTCATAGGATGAAGTGGGGAAAGCCTCTTTGGGGGATAAACATTGAGGAATGACTAGGTAGAAGCTTAGTAACTGAAAGAGGATTTGTTCAGGGAGGAGAAGGCTGGGATTT